TCTTCTTTTTTAATGCCTTTGTAGTAATTTCCATGACTACTACTTTTTATACGTTTCTGTCATTGGAATTTATGAAGACTCAGAACTAGGGTAGCGAAGTAATGTTGTCATAGTTTAGGTTTTAACCCATTTTACTTTATTCCTTCTCCTAGCTTGCTATCATAGAATTCTGTGTATCTTTCTCTTCAGGTTTCCTCTTTTTAAATTTAGTCGAGTCTTACGTTTCTGTCTATATGCAGATATTTTTACGCAGAGATTTATTTGCAGGGATTACTTCCCATTACAAACGCGCATATTAAGACTACAAATGAAGACTGTTCAACTTTGTATTTATTTATTTATTTATTTATACATGCATTGCATTTTATCTTTATTTTTTATTTTCTGACTGCCGGAGGTCTTCCACGGAAGCTGCACTCAACCGGAGTTGGGGGCAGCCTACTAACCTACCTCCCCCTTACCCCATTACATATGGGAATAGGGTTTTGTTGTTGTTGTTGTTGTTGAAATTTAACATTAAATTCAACTTAATATTCCAATTGTATTAGAAATTAAAAGTTATATTCCAATTATAGTTCACAGTACTTAAATTGAAATTAAATTTATCCATACATATGATTTTATCATCAACATATATATTAAAACGTATACATTAAAATCAACTTATCACTTCACATTTATTCGTAAAAACATGTTGATGCTCATTCCATACAATTTCAATGTCACAATCAACTTATCACTTCACATTTATTCAATTTATCTATAACATTTTATCTAATTTATTCAAACTTCACATAACGTTTTAATTTAAGTTATGAATTTAAATTTATCTATATGTATAATTTTATCCTTAACTTGCTGAACTTCCAAAAGAAGTTAAATTTTGGTTATAATTTACCTGATTTCACCATCCATCTATAGTTCCCCGGGAACGCGCTTTAAAGTCCCCTAAGAAATAGTAGGTATTGACATGAATAGTTCTCGGGGGACATAAGTGACATAATAGGGCAATGATAACATATTCTCTCAAAAATCTCAATCCTCTATTCTCTGAAAATGAGTCGTCTTTCTGCTGTTGTTTTGTATGATGGAGATATTAAGGAAGCTGAAGAGGGGGTTGTTTTTGAGTCAGATCATTATATCCCCTTAACCTTGAAGAGAAACATCACGTTTGAGTAGTTAATCACAAAAATTTCGTTAAAGATTCGTGTAGCAGGCCGAAGAAGACTATCTTCACTTCAGTACAGATTTCCTACTGAACTTTTTTCGCTCACGTATACATCATTTCATCTTTCAAATGATGATGATGTTTCTATGATGGTTGATGCTCATATGGGAAGTTCACAATCTCTTATTGAAATGTATGTCACTTTTATTGAGGTTTGTGCTTCTCGTGATCTCTCATATTCCTCTCACTTTGGCATTGTATATCAAGCTGATCAAGTTGATAGCCTGACACAACTGATATGTAATGATTTCACATCATTAATGGAGGATCCAACTCCAGATGCCATGCCATCAAGTTTAATAGGAAGACATTCATCTGCAACTGCTTATGATCTCAACCCACGTGGTTTCACCAATAATCCATATGGCAACATCTCTTCTACTTCAAGGGGCAGACATTCATCTGCCAATGTTTTCGACTTACATATGGAAATGCCAACGAGACGACAGTCTATTCACATCCCACATGATACAATGGCCTCAAGTTCAATGGGAGGACACACAAGCGGGAACTTATTTGACCTCAACATTGGATTATCGGAGGAACCCTCATCTCCACCAAAAGAACCACTTCGGGAGCCAGTGCAAATGGTGCTGAAACGAGATTATTCGTTGAACCTGACTCACCACAGTTTAACGTACATTCTGATGATGACGAGGATAACGTTCCAATAAATACAACACCAGCCGAACTTCTTGTACATATGTATGGGGCTGATTATGATGCAATGTATGAGCCTGAATTTCTGGATCTTCCTGATGTTGGCAACTATGGACTTCAATCGACAATTAATGACGGTGATTTACATATTGGAATGAAGTTCGCATCGAAGGTGGAAGCAATGATGGCAATAAAGAGTTACAATATTCGTAACTCAGTTCAGTCCCGAGTTGATCGATCTAACACAGAGAAATATGTCTGTTTCTGCGTCCAACGTGACAATAGATGTCAACGGATGGTTCGTGTATCAAAGAGGAAGAGGAAGAACAACTTATGGGAACTAACCAGATACAACTGTCCTCATACGTGTTGTGCAAGAGGTATAAACCAGGATCATCCCAACTTGGACTCCAACATTATTTGCCAAGCAATCATGCCCATTGTGAAGCAAAGCTCTCATATAGCTGTTGCAGTGTTGATTTCTGCTATACAGTCACAATATGGGTACACCGTCTCCTACAAAAAAGCTTGGTTGGCAAAACAGAATGCCATTTGCAAACTTCATGGTGAATGGGATTCCTCTTACAAAGAGCTGCCCAGTTGGTTTCATGTTGTGCAAAGACTCAATCCCGGGACGATTGTTGAGTTCGAAACTCAACATCATTACGTGAATGATCGAGTGGTTCGCGATCGCAGCCAATTCTACCGTGTCTTTTGGACTTACCCTCAGTGTATTAATGCAGTCAAGTATTGTAAACCAGTTGTCCAAATTGATGGTACTTTCTTGTATGGAAAATACAAGCAAGTTTTATTATTGGTTGTGGTCTAAGATGGAAACCGCAATATTCTTCCTGTTGCGTTTGCCCTCGTTCAAGGAGAAGACACTGAGTCTTGGGCTTTTTTCCTTAAAACTTTACCTTTACATGCTGTCACCAGGGAACGAGTATGCATTATTTTAGATAGAGGAGCTGGGATAAAAGCATCAATGGACTCTTTGGGTACAATGTATAGACCTCCACATGTTCAACATCGTTATTGTGTCCGTCATATTGCTGCAAACTATTACAGAAAATACAAGAAGAACGATGAACGTCAGTTAGTCGTGCGGATGGGTATGTTACTTTTTTCCAATTTTTCTATCATTTTCGTATTACTTATTTATACTTCATATTAACTATTACATATTCCTAATGGCTTAGGTTACGAACTCTTACCTCAAAGGTTTGAGTCGGTGCTACAAAAGTTGTTTGGCAAAAATAAAAAGGGGTGCGAGTACATTATGGACATCAACAAAGAAATGTGGACAAATGCGTATGACGAGGGATATCGCTATGGTCATATGACAACAAACTTGGCTGAAGTAATAAATTTAACCTTAAAGGGGGCGCGTCATTTATCAGTCACGACGTTGGTCAAAACAACTTATTTTCGTTTGGGTCAACTCTTTGCAAAGCTCGGTGGACAAGCTCTTACTTGGATGCAAAACGGCCATATTTACCACCTAATACTAGTAACTGATTTACAGAAAAAAGTGACTGCATCAAATGAGATGTTGGTTACAAATTTTTCTCGCACCCGTGAACTGTTTCGTGTAACCGAAATACCACGTCCGTTGTAAGGGATTGAAGCTAAATCTTTCAGAGTTAATCTGTATGAGAGGTGGTACGATTGTGGTTTCTTTCAAGCACTCAAATATCCATGCTCTCATGTCATTACAGCTTGCTCACATTCGTATTTGGACTACAAAAATTATGTTGATCCCGTATACCAACTTTCACAAGTATTCAAGGTATATGAATTTGAGTTTTTGCCCATAGGAAACGAAAGAGACCCAGATGAGATTCAAACTTGGCTTACAATTGTATCAGATCCATTGCTATTGAGGGACTCAGGTCATCCAACTACTAGAATACATTGTGATATGGATATTCGGGAGAAGTCAACAGAACAAAAACGATGTGGGCATTGTAGAAACATCGGACACAATAGAAAAAAATGTTTAGCTCTATTATCATCACATAACCGTTAACCCTTATGTAACCTAATATTCTATTTAAATGAATGTTTTTGTTTATAATATTTAAATGTAATTGCATTTTCTATAATTTCTCAATGTATAATAATAATAACAGATTAAATGTGTAATTATACTAATTTTATTAACTTATGCATCAATATTTTGGTTAAATAATAATAACAGATGACTAGATTGATAATATTTAAATAATTAAGTGATAAAATTAATAGATCGGTAATCAAAATAAAAATAATAATATAACCATACGTGTAATATAATAATTTTATACATTTTTCATATAACTACAATAAAATAAAAACTAGTTTTCATCTATCGTTCTATCCGATTAATGTTGATAATACACTCCACCTTTAACACACATTAAAAAATACATTCGATAATTATTAAATTATAACCGAAACAATTTACATAATATATTACTAATTTATAATAAAAATAAATTTTTTATTATTAAAAAAAATATCACCGTGGCAGCCGAATCAGTAAAACCCTGTGAAGGCGCGTCCCCGGGGATGCGCCTTTCACACGTGGCATTCAACTCAGCGTAAAATGTAAAGCGCGTCCCCGGGAATGTGTCTTTCACCACCTCAGCCGAAAGGGTGCCACTTCGAGAAATATATATCAAACAATGCTAAAAAGGAAGATATTCGATTAAACGGTGTCAATTAAATCAAATCGTCGGTCCAAGATGTATACTCTTGCGTTTGTTTGTTTGTTTTTAAAATCTTGAGGCGGCAAAGATTGCGGTGGAAAGTGGGGAAAGAAGAAGGATCAATGGGGCCATTATCATGACCTATTTTGCAAAGGAACCTACCAGGTACGGAGGTAATAGGTCTGTTCATAAGGAAAAGCTTCGGTGGTAGGGTTTTTATCATTAGAATACAAAGATTGCGGTGGAAAGTGGGGACAAAAGAAGGATCCTTTTGGGGAGTTTTTGTGGTCTCATGTGATAAGTTGATCGAATGTATATTGTAGATTAATAAAGTACCTCTCATGAGTTGATCGAATGTATATTGTAGATTGATAAAGTACCTGTTTAAAGCAAAGTAGGTGTTGTGGTTCGTTGGTGGATTTATGTTTGATAAGCTTTTGGAGGGTTCAGGTTGGTTTGTTGTGGTGTTGAGTGCATTGGAAAGTGTTCTTTCCACCCTTTTGTTCGTCTGGGCTACTTCTGATTGGTGTTGCAACATATGTGGTGTGTTCATGCAGTTTTGAATTTGTTTTCGGGTGACCTTGGGTGAGGTTGAAGGCTCTTTGCCAGGGTTTTTTTTTATTTTTTATTTTATTTTTGTGTGTGGTCAGGTTAAATAGGCAAGTTGGTTCCATTGTCATTGTCTCTGAATGTTTCGCTTATGTAACAACACCGATTAAGCGCACTCTTTTTCTTCTATTTAAGTTTAGAGAGTTTTTTTGACGAGACCCCTATCGGTATATATTTTTGTTGACTTTAATAAATCACACAAAACTCACCTTTAAAAAAAACTAACGTTACTTTTAATTTAAAATAATCACATATTAAAACTTTAAGTACCTATTTTGATTAAAAATATTTTAATTACCTAAAAGAAAAGTTTATATACTTTATATATTTATTTGTGATATACTGATAAACCTTTTATTTTGAGGTGAAAATTTGTTAGGCATTTTGTATCTCTTATATAAAATAAGACGACGTCATAGTCTCGTACAGTTCGAAATAAAAATTATAAAATGTTCTGTATCAAAATTCAAATTAAAACTTCTGAATAAATTTAAAGTGCATTTTACGAACTAAATCCTAAATTTTGGGTTGAATAATAAAAATTTAGGAATTTGAGAGTTAAATTGTAACTTTGAAAAGTTTTGAGGATTAATTTGTGAAATCTGGTAGACTGGTGACCGAATTAAAAATGTACGAAATTAACAACTTGATGTAGATCACAATTACTTTCTAATTGAAATATTAATATATTTTAAAAATAGTAATGAATTTTAAAATTCAAAATTATTTTTAAAAAAATTGTGTAAACATAAAATTTTGCAATGTTTTTAAATGAACTTTCAATCCATCTGAAATTTCTGTTTTGATTTTAATTATTAATTATTTATGAATTTATTTATACTATCTAACTTTTCCCCACACATAAATAAATAAATAAACATTGAGCATTTAAACAACTATCTTTGCTATTGCCTTGACGAAGACTGGTAAGGTTGCCGAGTTCGGTCAGAGGAGAAATGGAGTTTGGTACTGGAAAATAGAGTTTAGAAGAACATTTTTTGATTGGGAGTCAAAGATTTGGGAGAATTTCTTAGAATTAATCAACAGAGTAGTGAGCGTTAGTGTAGAGGTGGATCAGCTTGTTTGGAAGGGCTCTAGCAGTAGTGTCTACACTCCCAAAAGATTCTGTAACAGTGTGGTTAGTGTTGGGGTGGTTGAGGACTCTGTTTGGATTTTGGTTTGGGCAAAGCTAGCTCCTCCTAAAGTGGAGGCGTTTGTTTGGAAAGCCGTCCTTCGGAGAGTACCGTCATTAGTTGAATTAACCAAACGCGGTATACAAAACCTGGGTCGTTGTTTATGCAGTCTTTGTCATGAACAGCTGGAGTCATCGGACCATCTGTTTTGCCAGTGTAAGGTGTCTTGGGAAGTCTGGCAAAGATGGTGCTCTAACTGGAGAGTGGTCTTTGTTTGCCCAGATAATGTGAAAAGTTTTATTATCGCTTGGGAGAATCAACCGGTTAAGAAAACATTGAAGTCTATATGGAAAATGGCTTTTTTTGGTATCATATGGAGTATCTGGCTCTATAGAAATGAACTTTTTAATGATAAACCTTGCTCGTGAACCAACTTTATGATATTGCTACCCTTAGGATCGGCCTATGGTGGAATAGTAAGTGGCCTGATCTCTGCCCTTCGATAAATGATGTTAAAAGGTGCCCCATTTTTGTTGCCTAACGCTGCTTTAATGTTTGATGGGTTTGGGTTAATTTGTTTGTTACATGGTATTTGGTTTTGTGTGTGCTGTGTTAGTGCAGATCGCTCCTGCAGAAAGTTGGTGCAAAGTTTGCCATATCGGGAATGCCATTCTGGGGCATTATATTTAACAAGTTTGTTTTTGGGTGGCATGTTTTCATGATTCATTATGGTTGCTGTAACCCCTTTTTTCTAAGTGGATCAAAAGTCCTCTTTCCTCTTATTTGTTTTGTGTTGTTGGTTAATTGTTGCTGGCGTCTTTCCTTTTATCTTTGTTGGTGATCCCTGGTTAAATGATTGGGGTTCGTTTAGGGTTGGTTGAAGTCAAGCTGTGTTCTTGTGACGATTTGAATGTGGCAGTGTGCTCTATTATTTCCAAGGTTTATGGTCTGCTTGTTTTTGTGCCAAAGATTTGGAGTGTTGATAGTGAAGAGATGCTATATTTCAGACATCTTCTTGGCTGGTGTAGCTTGGTACTTCGAGTAGTGGCTAATGAAGTTGGTCTCTGCTATTGTGTCGTGTTTGTGTTTTGTTTGCACCCAAACCAGGTGCTAGCGGACGAGATAGCTTTTCGAATTAGTATGTGATCACATATTCCTTCAAGAAGCTTTGTTTTGAAACTTACGCACTCTTTTTCCATCACTTAGATTTAGGGAGGATTTTTAACTAGGCCTATATATCTTGCTTTGTTTTGTAGGTTGGAATAAGAATATACAAAACTCCTTTAAAAAAAAAATGCCAATTGAACTAAATTTAACAAACAAAAAATATTGATCAACAACTAAATTTTGATCACAAGTCACAACCTTTTTTTTCCCTAAAGGAAATATATTTTGAAGAATAAAAATCAACTTTAAAAATCAAAATTATTTTTTAAAAAATTGTTTTAACCTGAAATTTGCAATGCTTTTAACTAAAACTTTAAATCTATCTTAAATTTAATTATTAACTATTTATCAACTTTTAAATTCACCTTGATAAAACATATACATTTCAGAAAATAGAAAAAAAATTATCAAATTATTTATTTTGAAAAAGATAAAAGAAAGAGTTGCTCGAAATCAAAATCAAAATTTGATGTCAATCAATCGAGACTAAAATGTAATTTTTTACTTAACCCTAAAAAAATTCACAGAAAACACACAATACACGAAGCTTTTATACAACTTGACCAAAATCTATTTATCTGTACATTTTTATACTTGATTTGCATAAAATTAACCATGAAAGAAAGAGGAATAAAAGATATTAGTCAAACAAAAATTACAGCTGAAAATTGATCATCCACTAAACGTAAAAAACTGCACAGATCAATGGATATCAAGCTTTAAGTCTGCCTCATCTGTAACGAGAAGAAATCTGCACAGATCAATTTTTTTTCAATTTTATTCATGTATTTGGAGGAGCAAATACTCATACCATGTCTGGACATGTCTCCAACATCAATATTTTCAGACGAGTTGCACCACAGCAGCTATTCTCAAGGCACCATTTTGAAGAAGATCAGCAAGCTCATCGAACAACAGAGCTGTCCGCCATCCCCAACCCTTGGGAGCTTTCGGTAAGAGGGTTCCTCTTTGTTTGAAGCTTCCGAACATCATGACTTCTCGCTTTGATGGACATATTAGCTGGAAAATTAAGCCATAATAAACGTAGATTACTACTTATAAAACACATCTTTTGTCTTTGCATATGATTTTTATGGATATTAACACAGACAAGTCGATTACCTGATATCGGGCAGTAACCTTTTCACGAGAATCCACATACATGCGAACCTGAAAAGTTAAGACAAGATGTTTCTCATTGTTACTGGAACTAGAATGTGACAGTCCGATATGAGTATATAATATGGGTATGTTTTTTTATGTTGGATTAGGTCATATTCCGATACCCATGTCTGAGTATATGTAGTTAATAGGCGTGTCACTGAAAAGTTAAGGTTGCATTCTTACAATAAGACAACAACAAATTGCTGTCACCAAGATCTAAACCGGAAAAAAAATTGTTCCATGGATGAAACGGAACAAAAGACCATCTCTCGTACTTAAAGATATTGAGAAAAAGAGGACTGACCTTTCTCAGAGAGTCAGTTGCTTCAGCCTTCCGCCGGTGAAGGAATAAGCCTGAAGTGGGAGAAAAATCGTTTAGACAATATTGCAAAATCATCTCGAATGAACTTGAAAAACAAGAACAAAAATGTTTTGAGGTTAATCATTCAACGAATTAGAACATTACCGAGAGTCCTACGTCCTTGAGGATCTTCGTCATTAAAGGCTTGAACGCTGACCTGTAAATCAAAATGGATCTTAGAATGCAGATCTTAACACAAACCTAGGAAATAGAATTGAAAAGCCTAATAACATCAACAAGTTCTATACATAGCAGAGTTGGGAGCCATTCCGGAACCAGAATATTCAAAATCAGAGCCTCAGATAACAATAATTTTTCTAGTTCCGTGATTCTCTTTCAGATAAAAATACAATGACATTTGGATACTGAGAAATACTAAGACAGGTTTGAAGTAAAAGTAAATCGGTCTTGCTGCTCAGGAAGGATATTCATATTCAAATACCTTCCATAGGGAACCCGCATAAAAGAATTCAGGAGAGTGCTCGACTTGCCCATCACTTAGCCTGAGTACATCCTCGAATTCAACCCTGCAGAGCCAGCAACAATTTATGGAACATATATCAGAATAACTCTTCAACTTTGAAGTACCAAATAAAAGAAGATTTACAGTATAGAACAGATGGAACCCTAAAATCACAAAGAATGTGATCAAGAGCATCAGTTCTTTTGGTAGCTAATAGAGGTAAAATGTTTTACTGATAATACATTATTTTTTTATTAATCTGGGGTAAGTATAAGACAGTATCTGTTCAAAGATAACTAACAATCATTTGACATTGAACCCTCACACCCCCTAGCATTCCTAGTGTTTAAACCCGGAACCTCAAGGAATAACAACAATTCCTTTACCACTGAGGTCGCTCGGTTCATGCTACTGATAATACATTAGATTCAGAGAGAAGGGAACAATGTTATGACCCCAAGTGGAAGAATGATTCCACCACTAACTATATGCACCAACCTCTGGTTTATAAACACACCCACAATTATGTGTGAAAAAATTAACTTACCCAAAACGAAAGGGAGGGAAGTGATTCAGAGGGGTTTTCATGTCCAACGATATAGAAGAACTAGTTGCACTCTCCCACTCAATTCCAATGGTCTGTTCCGGTGACTCGAGCATCTGCATGGCAATTCCACTAGCACTTGGCCCAGCAGCAGAAGTTACAGGCACTCTGTTTTGCATATCTGTCACATAACTCCTTTCGGTTTGTTCTCCTTGAACATTAGTGGCATTACCTCCTCCTTGGCTTAACTCAACCAGAACTGTTAAACCACCTCCAGACATGTCTCCGGCATGCTCAACTCTAGCCTCTGAATCATTAGCAAGAGACTGTTGGCCATTCCTGTTGCCTGTACCGAAAGGCACACGGGAAAAGACAAAACGAGTTGGAGGCCATGCAGTGGCAGGAACAAAAGTAGCACCACGTCCAATATCAGCTAACCCATCAATAGGTCTCCTAACATGGACTCTTACTGGTCCAAAGAGGCCATTTCCTTCACCTTGGGCATTATCAGCCACATATACATTTCCAATATTGCCAGTTAGATGATTTTGATCGTTCTCTTGCACATAATAACCTGCAGTTGCAACTCCATGCTGAAGTCCAAAAGGCTGCCGGCAAGCGCATTGCATAGTAGTAAGACAGCAATTCTTGCATGTGTCAGCTCCAATTTCTTGCACCCTCTGGCTTAATAGCATCTACATATCCATAAAAAAAATTCTTATCAAGCTAGAAGCAGAGGCTACAATTTTAAATATATGCTTATATTAGAAAGGAAGAAAATACAAACTAATAGGAAAAAAGCAAAAACAGTCTTTGCCATGTTAATCTAATTAACAGTTTATTTGAAAACTACTAGATTGAATGACTTCCCAAATATTCAACCTTAAACCTATTCACCAATACAAATGATATATATCACTAGCATAGTAGTTATATCAACTTGATATCATCACAGCATTCAACATACATCCCTTTCACAGCACCAGATATGACAGAAATGGAAACAAACAGGTACAGATAACATACCTGCAGCCAAAGACCATCATTCAAAGCTTTGCAAGGAAATCCAAACTCTTCAAGTTGCTTTCTCACATTCAAAAGTACCTCAAAGGACATGTTGCAGTACAGAAGAGAATCCCCTTCAAATATACTGACAAAAGAATCATATTCCTCAATATGATCCCCATAGTTTCCTTTTGCGGAGCTTTTTACCTGTCTTTTACCCACAACCCTGCCACCCCAAGAAAGAGAAGCTACACCATATCTTCCCCAATCATTCAACATGAGCTCACTACAGGATGAGTCCACAGAAGAACAATGCCTCGATTGACCACTTGCAAGCCAATTATTGTTATTCAAATGGTAGCATGAGCCTTCCTCGGATGGTCCCTCCATTGCCATTCCACAGGCTCCCACTCCACTTGTTCCAACATCAATTGGGATTTCAGCATATGAACATGAAGTTCTTATTCCCTCTGCATCTGAAAACAGACTACTTATTGATGAAGACTTATAACTGTTTCCAGCATATATAGGCTCCGAGCGAGAATATTCAGGTTGCAGCACCTGTTGGTCCGAGCTAGATAAACCTGTATGGATGTCAGCCACACAATCTGCAAGCTCAACCAGATGATCTTCTCTTAGACTTAGGCGTTCCATTGCAGACTCCAATCTCTTACTAGGGCGCCTATCAACTAAATTTTTTCCCTTTGCTTTAGAAGACTGAGGA